GGCCAAAGGACACCCTGGAGGGCAGTGCTTCTTTGTGGGGTTGAACTTGAGAGAGGCCAGTGTTTTGATGCTCTCCTCAAATGGGGAGCTGGCAGGGGTGAGTACACTTATTCTCTTAAATTCAATCACCAAGAAAATCTGTTAGACTCAACTCTGTCTTATAGCCTTTGCTACTTCTTAGAAACTGATGGACAGTAGCATCTTCATCGCCACCTATAGACCCAAGTGAATGGCCACCTCCATCTCCAGTTTACCAAGGTGGGCACAGGCAGCACAGGCTGGTCTTTCCTCTCATTAAAATGTGATGGATGGAAGTTTGTAGAGTTTGTCACCCTAAGGGCTTCTCTTCAGGGGACAGTTGACCTGCCTCCACCTGGAGATCTGATTTCCTCAGAGCCCCACATCCACTGCAGCAAGAAGGTAAGAAAGGTCAGTGCAGATTTCCAGACTCTCCCTCTGTCTCTGCCTTCAGGTGGGTCCCTTGTTCTGTCACACATATCAGAAAATCACAGTAGAATATTTAGTGGAGCTCTCAGCTTTGGGGTTTGTTCTGAAGTCCTTGCTTATGTTCTTTGACCAAAACCTAACATATCACTGTGTTTGTGCCAATACCAGGGACTTCGAATGGATGAATGGTATAGAGAAATATGAAACTTTTCATCCAGATTTAGCTGGACTGGGAAATGTATCAAGTTTCCAAAAGTGCTTTGCATACCAACAGCTTTCTGTTTGGGAGTAAATGTTCTCATCACCAAAGGATCAACCTTTCACTTACAATTGATTCTTGAGAGAACACAATGCTTTCTTCCGGACTCGTCTCAGCCCCTCACAATCACCTCCCTCAGGATGGACCTCTCATTTCTTCAGATAATTTTCTTCTACATCAGTCTCATGGGAAACTTTCAACTAACCCCTCACAAGGGTGTGTGTGTGTGTGTGTGTGTGTGTCCTACAAAAACACATTGTAATCATGGTTCTCATAAGGATTGGAGAATTAGGACATCTGAGTATGTTATATACATTGGAAATTTGTTTTAAAGTCAAACCATCCAAGTTTGCTATATCTTAAGTTACTTCTCTGTGCAATGGGGTTGATATCCTTTACAAAACTGCCGTAAAGCTCAAATGTGAGGTTAAACATACAAAAATGTATGTGAAAACCTGTGGGACGTAGGCCTTTGGGATCTTCAGGTGCTACCATTATCTACAGTGCTTCTACTTACAAGGTATATTGCAAAATCAGGATTTACGATGATTCCAGTATTGTATAGATTTCTTTCTACAAATGTACACATGCATAACATTATACCTTTACATATAGCTCTCCAGCTCACCTAAGTTAAAATAAAAACTACTTCAGTACTAATGGTTTGACCACTGAAGTATCCAAATATGCCAGAATTACTGTACGTCTTTGACTCTACCAAGAAATAGAGATTCAGATATAACCATAGGATAAAATCATGATTAATATTTTAAAATCAATCGGTGGGAAAAATATACTAAGTGCTTTTATGTCAAGTTGGCCAATTTGAAAAAGCTCTTATTGTGAATAAATGCGATACTTGAGGTTCTCTGTTTGGTTTGCTAAGAAGCATGTGCGTCCCACGGTGACACAATTGGCAGGTTGTAGCACAGGTTGTAGCATAGATTCATACAGAAATGTATTATTCAGTAATAATAATAGAAAATACAATAAACAGCTTTCATAGATGGGAAAAAAAAGCAATGGAAGAATGGAGGAACCAGTGTGAATCCTGGTGACCTGAGGTAAATTTGTTAAATAATACCTTGGTTTGGTAATTTTGCTTCATGGTTCTGCTAGCCTCTTTGGATCATGGTACCAAGAGTTTGACTCTCTTTATTTATTTTTATTTATTGTTTGGAGTCCTTAACTCCAAAGACTTGTCAGACCACCATGATTTTCTCCATCAGTCACTTATTGCCATGAAATAAATAAATTGACAAGTTAGCCCCAGCTTTTTCTGAGCCATGGTGGTTAGGATAGTGGTCACCCCTCCTCTGTGAGCTGCCACAGGGCTGCCCTTGGGGGGAACCCAGAAAATATAATCCATTTCTGAGAAGATTTGGACAAAACTTTAAAAACATTTTTTAAACCTCCTGAGAGAAGTCTCAGCTCTACTCCTCAGGTTCTCTGAATGACCCTCAGTTGGTTCCTATGCCTCCAGCTACAGATTTGGGCCCTCCTTTCTCCTGCTCAAGAGCTGCCCTTTCAGAGAACCTCAAATCCTCCCTCACTGAGCCCTGGGCATAGCTTCATGTCCATAGGGATGACGACTTCATGAGTTAGGTGGTTGAGTCTTGGGATCTGTTGGAAACTCACTGAGGCCCAGCTTAGCGCTGACTTAGATTCATGATTATGGTGGGGAGAATGGGCACGGCTTTTCCTATCCTACTGCCACTGATCAGAACCACGATTCTTCCCTTCAGTCTATGCTCTAACTCCAACGTGATGAAGAGTAGGGCCATGTATATTCTTCGTAAATATGCTAAGTCCACTAGAGGTAGAGTCTCAGTTCTCCTCCAGCACCATCCCAGGGTCTTCCCTGTCATCTGTGTGAGGGGCGACCGAGCCCAAAGGGTGGGGTTGGGTAGCAGGAAGGTAAGAAGTGAATGGTGCTCACGAATCCTTCTCTTACTTGACAATGGTGGTCAGGCCCCTCCTGCTGACTGTCTGTGCTCTTCTTGCTGTGGTAGGCTATGTGGAAGGTCCAACAGCAAGTGCGCTTTTCTTGGGTTTCATTTGTTCTTACCTCCATGGACTTGCAAATTGGCTTTTGCAAGTGGGAGAGTTGATCAACTTCAGCCTTGTGTTAGGTACAACAACAGAAACAAGAGAAAACTCTATCCAAAAATTTGTATTAAAAAAAAAGGCAAGGTGAAGCAGTAAGATAATAATACAGTCCACAAACAGTTAATGCCTGCTTGCTCTGTGCCAGGTAGTGGACTTGGCACCAGTGATATTAAGATGGCTATGCCTCCTGCTTCAGGAACACATAGATAGTCATGGTGATCAACACACACACACAGCAGCCCCATAAAACATGCGTCCCAGTTGGGCAGAGCCTTGAAAGAAGAATGGGGTTTGGGTCTGCAGAGAATAGAAGTATTTCAGGGAGAGAGTAGCACAGCAAGGGTATGGGGACCCTGTGGAATGAAGCCTTTTTGCAGAGACCATCTAATCGTTTGGTTTGGAGTGGGCAAAGGGGGGATGCTCCCAGGAGACTTGAGAGGTGCTGGGACTGAGCTATGAAGGTGAGGGGGTAGGTGGCCATCAAAATTTGGGCGAGGAAATCACAGCTGAGCTTCTGCTTTAGGTACTCACTGTGGTATCCCTGGGGAGGATGGGCAGGAAGTAGGGAAGCTAGAAGCAGGAAGCCCTCTTGCAGGCTGCCATGTTCATAGTCTAGCAAGAGTTGGTGTACACTGGACTAAGCTTAGAAGGGGGGTTTTGGAAGGAGAAAGGTTCAACAGGTAGAATGGATTTGCCCAGGGGCCAATTGTCTAGGAGGGAAGAAGGAGAGAGCTAATTCCTGGAGCCCACTAAGAAAGAAGCAAGAATCTAGCACTGTGTGCAATTTGGTGAGAAAATGAGTTTCAGCTCCAAACGTTTGGTTGGCCTCCAGTTCTTCAAGAACAAAACTGTTTTGCTAAGTAGATACACAGGACTTCTGCTATCACCATTCTAGTAAAAGTGCTGAATATGCTGTTCAGATGTTTTCTGGGGTAAACGGTTGGGCCCATTTATTTACTTGTTTATTTTTCTGAGCAAATGAAACCCAGCCCTGGGTCTTGACCTCTCTGGGTGCTGGGTAAAACAGCTTCCAGGAATTGCGTATCTACCGCTTCCCAGCATCAGGCAGAATACAACTGTTCCATTATAACTTCCCAAACCAGATGCTTTACTGGTTCCTTAAGATGGCAGAAATGTGTACACGCCTGCTGTGCATCCGGACAGAGAAATCAAGCCTGAAGGAGCAGATGGATTTCACACAATCCATCTTCTGTTCTGATTTATAGCCTTTCTAGTAAAGTTTGAGTCCAAGCGTCACTATTCAAAATCAAATTTCTTTAAAACTAGGTTGTCCTTGATTATCCTAATGTCCAGGTTCCTCTCTGATACCTTCTGCTGCCTCCTCTTGAAATCCTGAGATTCCCAAATTCTTCCAGCTTGGCACTTCCGCTCCACCCAAGAACAAGGCTTGGGTAATATCCCTCTCTCACCCCACCCCAAACACCCTCCCTGGTCACTCTTGATTTGCTTATCTTAAGAGTTAAGATAAAAAGAGTTAGTGGGAGGATAAGAAAGTGAACTGGCTTGGAGACCTGAGTCAGAATCTCAGATGGCGGGATTTATGGCTTTTTTGTGTGGAGCTAGGGTCAGCAAAGTACAGTCCAAGGCTCAAATCCGTCTCCTGTCTGTTTTCGTATGGTCTGCAAGCTAAGAACGGTTTTTACATTTTTAAATGGTTGAAAAAAAAACCCAACAAGAATAATATTTCATCACATATGAAAATTATATAAAATTCAGATTTCAGTATCCATAAATAAAGTTTTGAATTTCATCAACAAAAATTTGGAAATTTATTTCCTCTCTTGCTATATTAGTACCTACATCATATCTTTGACCTTGGCCTGCAAAGGCTAAAATATTTGCTACCTAACTTTTTATAAAAGAATTTCCAGGTGTTGGGAACTTTCTCTTCTGTTGCCTAGAAACTCTGAATTAAAAACTCTGGCCATGATGGAAATTCCTGTCCAAGTTATTATTATTTGGTAACATTATTTATCCAAGTAACTTATTACTTATCCAAATAGTTATATGGGCTGCATCTTCATTCTTTGCCATTTGATTTTTGCAAGGCAATAACACCGATGATATTAATAATATTGGTAATCATGATCATGGTCCTTTGAGCGCTGGGGGCCGGGAAGGGGGGTAAACGGCAGAGCTGACCGGCCACTCTTTCTGCCCACAGGTCACAGGCCTTTCCAGTGCCGCTACTGTCCCTACAGTGCCTCTCAGAAGGGAAATCTGAAGACCCACGTCCTCTGCGTCCATCGCATGCCTTTTGACAACAGCCAGTATCCCGACCGCAGGTTCAAGCGCTCCAGAGTCGACTCGGAGGCTTCTGGGAATTTCGAAGACCCCACAGCTGTCAAGGCGGGGAGCTCAGCGGAGCCAACGGAGGAGGGCAGCAAGGCCCAGGAGGAACGCAACTGAGCCAACCAACCCGGATATTGCAATATTATTTTACACAGTTTTCAGATTATGCATCTGGTAAAAGAGTTTGCTAACTGCATTCCAAGGGGAAAAAATCATGTACAACCTCCCCTCTAGTGTATAGAACATTTAAAAAATTTAAAAAGATAGCTATATATATATTAAAAAAAAAATCCCCAGCCCTTGAAAATGGCTGCTAAACTGTTACCCGGCAACAAGTATTTCCAAACAATGCAGGTGGGAGAAAAGGGATTTCAGAAATGCTTGGTGTCCTCCGAGCTCAAGAAAGCTGGGGGCCCTTCCAATGCTAGAGTCGTCTTTGTTCAAAAATCATGCTCTTAACTGAAAAACGATACCATCTAAATGATTTAGTGTTGCCTTGAAGATGGAGGGGCTGTGTTTTCATCGTTGAAAACACCTCTATAATCTGACACCAGCTGCTGTCATCTGCCTCGCACCCTAATGGGATGTGTTGGGAGGCGGCCGCGGTGCCAGTCTGACTGGAGCGGTCACTGCAGAGAAAATCAATTCACGTGGTGTTGTAACTGCACTCTCAGAGAAACCTTAGCCGGCCCGCAGCCAGCGCCAGGGCTGACCGGCACTGCAGAGGATTGCCATCTTCAACGTGCATTTTAAAAACACCCACAGCCAAATGAATCAATGGTCAGGAAGTATCTGCAGACAAATGTCCAGTGCAAGTTTGATGAGTAATTCCTTTTTTTTTAGATCAAATTGCAGTATGGAGGGAAATGCTTTTTTCTTGGTTGTCTTTTTTTCTTTTTTTTTTTTTTTTTTGGAGGAATTTACAAGAAGCTTGCTAATAAAAAATTTTTTAGGGGTACATGATATAAAAATGCTTAGAAAAACTAGCCCACCTTATCCACAGAAGGTGCTGGTGAGGAATGGAAGTTTATGTAACAATAGATTGTTTTTATTATGATTTTAAAAATTTTACTTGAAAGAAGGCTGCTTTGGTCCTTATTATCAGATTTTTTTCGTGTGTTAGTTTTTGTAAGTCTCACAGACACGAAGCAAGATTTTCTTCTCCAGCAAGCTCTTATGAAATAGCTTGTATTAAAATATGAATCTAAACATCCTGCTCTCTATCACTAATGAAGAAGACTGTTTAAGTTAAAATGTCTGTTTTTGTAAAACAAATGTGTTCTATATTTTTGTAGATTTTAGATTTTCTACTGATTGGATACTCCAAATTTATCAAGTTCTGCACCACCCAGAGGGAGATTGGAGAGCCAATAATGAAACAACTCATTCTTTTAAAAAACAATTTACGAAGACTAGTTAATGGTTTATTCCTGAATCTGCTAGTGTGGTGTCAAAGTTCAGCCTCTTAACATACTTCCTTTGCGTGACACGAAATTGGTGCTGTTGCTTGTGACGGTGGAGAAGTATTGAAGTATTAACTTCTTCTAAAAAAATCATTCAGACTTAAAAAAAAAAAAAAAAGATAGATATCTCCTTGCAGGCTGGGAGCACAGAATAAAACCCCAGGGCCTTAAAAACTTCAGCTCTGCCTACAGCAGTTTACAAAAATACTGAACTGCAATCAATGTAAATAAAATGCTTCGCTATCCTGAGACCAGAAGGAATCTCAGGCTAATAAGGAATCCGGTTTGCATATGCTGTCGAGAGGGTGACATCCACCCGGGGTTTCAGTGTAAACGTGGTCGCTGTACAACGTGGACCCATCTGGCATAGAGCAAGCTGCTTTCTTGTTTTTCTAGAATAGTTCTCACTGCCTTACTTAAATCGAGTTGATAAACTTAATGCAACTGTTTCTATGATCCTAGAGAAAGGACTGAAATGTTATTGAAAACTTTCCGACTGTAGTAAGCTTTAGGATTTTAAATGCACTACTGTGTTTGGTGACTGTGCCAGTCGCTTGCTTTCTGTGTGTTTGCCCTGCCTTTGGTATCTTAGCAAAGAAAAATATAAAAAAGAAGAAAAAAAAGTAAAAAGAGCAAAAAAGAGGAAAAAAAGTGGAAAAAAACGAGAGCCACGTTCCATTTCTAGCACTTTGGGCGCTCTTTCAGTATCCTTTTGTGTCTTCTGAGCATCGTCAGATGCGACAGGCAATAATTCTGTTTGTGACACTGGGAACATCCCCTCTTCTTTGTGGCGTGTGTGTTGATTCCATTTTGTCCAGTGCTACCATCCTTATTTCCCCCCTGACACAGGCCTTCTTTCCAGAACATTTGTAACTTGTAATACAAACAAGTGACAGCCGCAGTGATGCAGTGTCAGTTTCTGAATGTCATCAGGTTCTCATATCTAAACATGTCAAGTTTTTACCCTGTAACTTCTGTAGTCTGTGATGCTGGTCATAATACTGTCTACATTCCTACACAAAGAAAAAAATCTATCTTGGAGGAAATCTGAGATCAATAGAGTAGAGGATTTTGTTGCTATGCTTGTAACAAGTAGAAAACTTTGTATTTAAAGTTTATTCTTGGTCATTATTTATTATTATAATACATCAGTTGACAGAACTTTATTCTGGTATAGAAAGTATTAAAAGTTGTTTTTTCAGCAATGACTGTTTTCTTTCTGCTGTTAGAATAAAATGTCTTTGAAGCAGTCCAGTTTTATCCAGTGTTTTAAGCAATAAAACCTCTACCTCTGGGGGAAAAAAAAACTTTTCCTATTCACATATGTTTACTAGGAGGAGGGAAACATATTTTTGCAGCTTTTTCAGATTTTGATAAGACTTGGTCAAACCCCACTTCTTACAAAAACCCCTGCAGTATCCTGGGTGGATGGTTCCCATAACCTGGTGCTTTTTCAAGCTGAAGAGTATCTCTGTGCAGTACGAATAGCATGTGTATCTGTGTGTGTGTGTGTGTGTGTGTGTGTGTGTGTGTGTGTGTATGCACACCCATGTGCATTTGTGAACTATGTTTCTTTGAAAGCTTGCAGACATGGGTTTTAGTGAGGTAATACCTATGCAAATACCAATGCTCCTCATATACTAGCAATTATACAAGACACTTAAGGCATTGGGATCTATTATTTCCCTTTACTGGTAGCAAGTTTTAAAAATATCATTAAATGCAAGGAAGTCTTTTCCCTCTGAATGATCAGAGGACAATATGAATTCTTTCTCCAGAAGCAAAGGAAAGGACAAAGAATAATAAAGTCTACGGTATCTGGGCAGCTGAAAAACAGAACTCTGCCACCGATCTGAGGAGGTTTGGAGTGTGTGCCCCACACTTGATGCACAGGATTGCTTTTGTGTGTGTGTGTGTGTGTGGTACGCGGGCCTCTCACTGTTGTGGCCTCTCCGGTTGCGGAGCACAGGCTTCGTGGCCGTGGCTCACGGGCCCAGCTGCTCCGCGGCATGTGGGATCTTCCTGGACCGGGGCACAAACCCGTGTCCCCTGCATCGGCAGGCGGACTCTCAACCACTGCGCCACCAGGGAAGTTTTTGCTTTTTGGCTTGTTTTTTTGTTGTCGGTGGTGGTCTGGTTTCAAAACCGAGCTTGCATGTGCATGCTTCAGCTCTGGAATAGGCTGGCCCACCGAAATGTTGCAAACAAAGGCATCCAGCCACAATACAGGAATTTGTAAGTCACCGGGTTCCTTTCAGGAGGAGGCCAGACTGTTGGTGTCCCTGGAAGGGAGCAGATGACTTGAATGAAATCTTTGGCAGTCCCGAGAGTCCGTTGTTAGAAACAACAAAGGTGAGTTACGAGGAGTTAGGGAAGCATCAGAAAATGAACCCATCAGGGAAGGAAGGTTGATTAAGGGGCTGTAACTCTGCATACATGATGGATCCTGATCCCAAATGCCTCCAGGGGCCAGGCAGGATGCCTCAGTGGCGAGAGGAGGAGAGTAGAAATTGGGAGGGGGGCGGTCTCGGAGGCCATGGGGGATCCCAGCACTGCTGCTCATCACCACGAAGAAGGCGGCATCAGGGCTTCTGACTTTGTAAGAGACACTGGACACCTGGATTTTGGGGGAAGCCTCTGAATTTCACATATTGGTTCAAAATGTGTATTTAAAAACTGTGTGATAAATAGATGATCAAAATGTGGTTTATCCACAGAAGGAATTTTTTTTCTTTTCCATTATGATTTATCACAGGATATTAAGTATAGTTTCCTGTGCTAAACAGTAGAACCTTATTATTTATCCATTCTATACGTAATAATTTGAATCAGCTAACCCCAAACTCCCAATCCATCCCTCCCCCTTGGCAGCCATAAGTCTGTTCTCTATGTCTGTGAGTCTGTTTCTGTTTCATAAATAGGTTTGTTTGTGTCATATTTTAGATGCCACACGTAAGCGATATCATATGATCTTTGTCTTCCTCTGTCTGACTTACTTCACTTTGTATGATCATCTCTAGGTCCGTCCATGTTGCTGCAAATGGCATTATTTCATTCCTTTTTTACGGCTGAGTAATATTCCATTGTATATGCATACACACCGCATCTTCTTTTTTTTTTTTTTTTTTTTTCCACGGTACGCGGGCCTCTCACTGTTGTGGCCTCTCCCGTTGTGGAGCAACAGGCTCCGGACGCGCAGGCTCAGCGGCCATGGCTCACGGGCTCAGCCGCTCCGCGGCATGTGGGATATTCCTGGACCGGGGCATGAACCCGTGTCCCCTGCATCAGCAGGCGGACTCTCAACCACTGCGCCACCAGGGAAGCCCTCACACCGCATCTCCTTTATCCATGCCTCTGTCGATGGGCATTTAGGTTGTTTCCATGTCTTGGCTACTGTAAATGGTGCTGCTGTGAACATTAGGGGGCATGTATCTTTTCAAATTAGTGTTTTGTCAAGAATGGACTCTTATTCTGCCGTGGAAAGGGATGGAGCACTGACACAGGCTGCAACGTGGATGAACCTTGAAAACACTGCGTTAGGTTGATGAAGCCAGTCACTAAAGAAGCCAGTCCTGTGGTTGCTGGGGTTGTGGGGAGGGGAGGATGGGGGTGACTGATGGCTGAGGGGGAGGAGTTCTCTTCTCCCAGAGATACAGACGCTCTAAAATTAGATAGTGATGCTGGTTGCCCAGCTCTGAATATATTAAAAACCACTGAGTTGTATACTTTAAAAGGGTGAATTTTATGGCATGTGAATTATATCTCAATAAAGCTGTTACAAAATAAAAATAAAACTGGAAGGAGGCCTTTTTAAGAAGCTTCAACATGTATTTCCATCAAAATATTTTGAGCTCTTCTATAGTCACAGACAATTGGCAGATCAGTCCGTTGTAAAGAATTACAAGATTGAGGTGTCCTGACTTAAATCTGAACCCTGAACTACTTATTGGCTACTTGATCTTGAGCAGTTTAACTGTTCTGAGTTCATTGATCGTTACCTGTAAAGTTATGGAGTTAAATGCAATAACGTAGGGGAAATTATGTGTAGGTTTATAAAGAACTCTACAGATGCTAGATATCGTCACCACTCTGGTGTAATAAGTTATGGATAAATTTGAGATTAATTTCACATACACAAAATACGGTACACTAAACCCCCTTGTGTTTTGGAAAAGTCTCCCTGGAGGTCAGGTGGTCATGATTCCTCCACACTCACCCCCTTCAGATAAAATGATCCTGGACAAATGTCTTAAACTTTTTGTTTTCCAATTTTCTCATTTGAAAAATCAGTATTTTAACCACTTTCTTGCCATTCTCAGTGTCTTGTGGGCAGATGGGGAAAGAGTGGGATGCTGGGGGAAAAGAGTTGGTCTTGGTGTTAGATGTTATTCCACTCACTTGTCTGCTGAACGTTTACAGGGGACCTACTGTGTGCCAGGCATCAGGCTATGGGCTGGAGATACACAGGTGAGTCAGAGATCATGCCCACAGATCACTGTCTAAGGAGAAAATAGACTTCAATCTGATAATCACACAAATAAATATAACACATCTAGAAGAGGAGATTCAGGGATAAGATGGATTTTTCATGTCACAGAAGACTTCCCTAAGAGGTGACAATGAACTGAGATATGAAGGAGATCATGCCGGCTAGAGGAGAAGCATGTGCAAAGGCCGTGCGGGTGTAATGGGGCTTGGGAGGCCTGTCTCGACCTCTCTGAGCTGTGGGATCCAAGCAGGTCATTCCACCTCCCCAGATCTGCTTCTTTATCTGTGAAGTGGAAAATGGTGCCCACAGCAGGCTCTTACTGGGATTAAATGAGATAGTAGTAGATAACTATGTTACAAGCTGCACAGACAGCAAGCTAGGTACCACCAGGTTCCACGGACTGTTATTGAAACTGACACCGGCTAGGAACCCACTTGAGCATTGAAACGGAGTGCATTCTGCAGATGCATGGCTTTCTGGCTTGTTCAGAAGTCAGCAAGATGGGAGTCGATGTAGCATGACCCAAATGCCTTCTTCAACAGATTTACAGGATCCCAGAGAACCATCAGTCATAGATCACACCCAGGGACCTCAGTTTTCTGGGAAGGAGTGGGTGGGAGTCTCCTGGTCCCAATTCAAGGTCTTTGTACGGCTCCAGTCTATCCCTTTGTTGACGGGTTTGGCCACCGTGGCGGCAGCACTATTTGCTGGAGGAGTGTACATAGGATGGTGAACATCCTGATTTCCCTGGACTAAAGCGTTTCCCAGTACGTGGAACTTCCAGTGCTAAAAGCAGGGCAGTCCTGGACAAACCTGAACGGTTGGTCAACCTGGGTCCAAGGCCACTCCCTCTAAAGGCACATGTCTCGGCGGAACCAAGCTATTGCTGCCCTTAACTCAGGAGGCCAGTATGAGGCCAATCGGGGGAGCCAAGGGGCTCAGAGCACGGGCTTTGCTAACTCGAGACTTGGGTTCAAATCTTCTCTGCCACATCACCTTTGCTGTAAGGGTGAAAGTTGACAAGGTGCGCACAGCCCGCCACACAATGCCTGGCACGTGGTCATTGTTTATATATCCTTGCTGAGTTCTACTTCAACTAGGTGGGGGATGCCTCAAATGTGAATTTCTCTTCCTGGCAGCTGGAAACTGCTGAGCTGCTGATACTGTGTTAAGGTAGTATTTTGTGCTGAAACTTTTATAAAGATGATAACCCTGCTGTCTCTTGTAGTTTGGGGTTTGCACACTTCCCCTTCTCTGTTGAACATTTGTATTGTAACAGTATATTATGAAAACCTCACCTGGTGTATTGTAAGCACAATCCCAAGGAAATTAATGTTAAATATTGTGATCTTCTTTTCAAGATAGAAGGGCTGGTCCCGTTCCACAGAACTAGAGAGTATGTTTCCATGGGGAAGGAAAAAAATTCATGGTGTAATGTAATATTAAAAATGTTGCCCAGCTGAGCATTCCATGTAGGGGCTTGTGAAGAGTTTTAATCTCATCACCTGTTGGTGTTAAGAGAAAAGAGAAAGATGGAGGGAGGGAGGGAGGGAGGGAGGGAGGGAGAGGAAGGGCTTTTGTGAACAGGGAAATCACAAGCAAAGAGGAGGGGGAAAATTTAAATGATCCCAGACCAAACTGTTTTGCTGTTAATACAGAAATACAGTGCAAGACACATTTAATGGGCTCTATTTTTTATTATACTATGCTGAATAATTAAGTTTGAGGCTAAGTGTCACATGGATTTATCTTTTAATTAA